GCCACACTAGGGAACAGAGCCAAGCGTGGTGACACACGCCTTTAATCCCAGTACCAACCATAGAGACCTGGAGGTCTGTACAGACAGACAGTGACAAGGAAGTGATGTAGCTGGGTTAAGAGCCAACAAGAGGGCAGAAAAGCAAGGCAATAAAGGCATGGGTAGACAGGAAGTAGCTCACTTCGGAAGCTGCCACATGGTGAGGTAAGGTTAGCTGGTGGCTATTCCTATTTCCCTGATCTCTAAGGCTTTTACCCCTATATTTGGCTCCGTGTTTTTTATTTAATAAGACCACTTAGAAATTTGTCTACAATGTTCCACCACACCCAGCCTTTTATATGGGTGCTGGGAATCTGAACTCAGGTCCTCAAGCTTTTGTAGCAAGTGCTTTACATACTAGGCTATCTCGTCAACCCTCCCTTCCAATATTCTTAATATGATATTTAGCCATTCATACTTTAAATAACTGGTAAGTTTTTAAAATACAGAAGCAACCTAAATGTCTGATTTCAAATATTACTCTGCATGGCTTCAAAACTGTATTGGATGTGTCCCTGAACCAACATATTAAGATCAATGTGAGGATATAGAGTTAATAATTATCACACACTAAAGTGCCAACAAGTACTAGGAAAGCAGTGGTAAATGCTAGCAGCTAAGCATTATTATTTCGCATATGATTCATGTAATTAGTTGCTTTATGGTTTTCATACAAAAAGGGTAAACTCAACAACAATCAAAATCTGTGTCCTAACTCATCAAATTTATAGGACTGCACAGTATGCATTTGAGAGAGAAACCACATTTCTAATCTCATTTTTTTTTCACTTTTGTTTAGGACTCAACAACCGTATTTCATTTTATTTTATTGTAATAAATTATTACGATTCTCTGTATGCCATTTTAAATGCTTTGTTAAATAACGTTAATCCTGTGTGTAAATAAATAGTTCTTCATTCATGTATATAGCCCCTCCATGAATACTTAGTATTTCGGGTTTGATATCTCAGAATCCCTATTTCTTCAGGACCCAGCTTGTTAGTGCCCTGTCTTACCAAGCACCATTAGAATACAGCCTCTTCTTCTTGCCATGTGCAATAAATGATACCCACACATAAAAATGCAGTCATTACACTTGTTCTCTCGGTCAACTTTCTATCCTATTAATTTGCATAATAATGAAGATTAGATCCTATGAAGTCAATCTGCTGCAAATTTTGCTCCCTGCTGTAGTTCACAAGTTTAATTTCTCCCAAAGCCTCATGAGTGAATAGCTTATTCCACAGGACAGGGACACTACCAGAATTATGTGGAACTTTTCAGAATGAGACCCAGTAAAAGGTTCTGAGTTTATTGAAAGTATGTCTGAAAGCTGCTGTGGGGCCTCAGGCTCCTTCTTTCTCTGTCTTTGCTTCCTGGCCATGAGGTGACCAGCTGGGCTTCCACCTGTGTCCCAGTTATGGGATGCTGTCTCACCCAGACCTAAAACAATAAGGCAACCAATGAATCATGAGCTGATAGCTTCAGAATTACAAACCAAAAAATTCTTGTCTTTTTCTAAGTTGATCATCTCAGGTCGTTTGCTACAATGATTAAAGGCTAACACGCTACCTTTCTATCATGAAAATGGTTTTGGACAGAACAGAATTATTAAATTTTTTCAATATTTTTGCTAACTACTTGAGGATTTCATTCACTCTATTTTGATCATATTCACCTCTCCCAGTTCCTCTCAGATCAACCCCACCTTCATGTTGCATTCACTCATTCAAAAACGCAATTGAAAGCCTTGTATATGACATGCAGTGTGCAGGACATTAAGAAGGTGATGTTATTCAAAACTAATCTTTCAGGAACTTAGGACCTAGTAAACAAGCTCATAAATAAACAGGGTTTTGTCATACTACAAGATACATGTTATAAATACTAAAAGACAACCCCAATGACATCTGTTGTACATCTGCTACACACCAAGCACAATTCTGTGCATATAGTGCAATGACACTTTTTACTCTCATACATGCACCACCACGTCACTGCATTACTAGTTCAGAAAACTGAAGCCTGGAGACTCCAAGGTCATATTATAAGAGGCAGGTGCAAACCTTTACTTAGGAGCCACATTCTAAATGTCTCCGTGATGCTAATTTTCTATAACTGATTATGAAGGAGAATTGGGGGTGGATATATTGATGGAGTCTTTGGACCTAGTGATACAAAAAGGTGGGAGAAATAATTAACAAAAAAAAGAGAAGGGCAGGACCTCTAACAGAGAAGACTGAGTATCAGAATGAGGTAGGACTCTGGCATGGAACCATGGGTTGAGAGAAGGCTGAGTAAGCAGCCTGAAGTAATGTGGTAATGACCCATAGAGCCATTGGAGGGTGGCCACTGTAGCAAATTGCAGTGCCAGCCCTCGGGAGACCAACAGCCCCACACAGGAAGCAGTTTTATGTAAGGATCAAAATCAGTGCTTTCTATAGACAATTCATCATCAGAGCTGGAACTGTGAGATTTAAAGCCTGAAGAGGCATAGTTGTTGGGAAACATAATAGATTTTGCAGACAGATATTGTTTAAGGATTTTGTACCTACTGGCATCCTGTTCATTAATGTGAAAATGATATATTCGATTCATTAATTATTTTTCATAGCTAGATCAGAGTCCTGCTTACATTACCTATTGCTATCTAGGAAACTACTACAAAATCTAGTAGCATAAAATAATCACTAGCTATGGGGCTCACAACTTTTCAAGTTAGCACTACAGTGAGTTAAGAATAGCTTCATCAGCTGAAGACAGCTAGGATGGCTTGACTGGGACCATGTATGGGGGGTATTGGTTCTGTATTCTAATAAAATCCCTAGACTCTGTCTCCCAGTGCATCAGTTAGGAATGAAATTTCTAAGATAGCTTCTTTATTTAGCCATCTACACCTAGCTAGACTAGTTGGAATAGCCAAAACTTTCTGCGTTTCTTTCTTCTTATACCCTCTTCACACAGCTAGCTTGGACTCCCTGAAAGCATGGTGGACTTAGAGCAGTCAGACCCATTGCATGGCATCTGGCTTCCCCTAGATCAGAGTTCCAAGACAGGAGTTAAAGTATAAGCAAAGCATCACTTCTGCCATATCCTGTTGACCAACCCAATGTCACAGTCAGCAAAGATTCAAGTGGAGGGAACACACATGTCTTTTTCCAATGTTGGAGGACTTCAAAGAATTTGTGGATAAGTTCTTTCATAACAGAGCCCTTCCTACAATCCAAATGAAACACTGTGCTTGTATTTTCTCATAATTCTTGAAGCTAGACATTAAGAGGTCAAGGTGTTGTCTGGGCTGAGTTCCTATGAGGTTTTTCTCTTTGATTTACAGATGGACATTCTCTCCTTTTGTCTTTCCACATGACATTTAAACTGAATTGTAACATAGAGTTATGACCAAGACATTATCACAAAATCCTCAATAAATATTGTCTAACAGAAGAATTAGTGAAAACTGTGAAGATGCACCTTATGTTTTAGATACATCCATGGGTTTGAGGAAAACAGAAAGAAGTAGCCCAGACATATCACCTGAATTAAGTCACAAACATTTTACTAAGGTACCAAGATATGTGCATATATTTACAACTTCATAATAGTCATACTGTATATGTATAACTTTTGTAATTGTAAAACCCTATGATCAGCCAACAATAATTGTATTACATTGATTAGTGCATAGCACTTACTGAGTTTGCCACTCCAACAAGCCCTTCACAAGAATTACCTTTGCACATAAGTTGAGATCCATAAAGCCTATTAAGTGCTAAATTGTGCTCATAGGGTAAAATCCCAACATACTGTGCCCCAGAATGTAACTGCATTTGGAGAAAGGACCATTAAAGAGGTATGTAAGTTAAAATAAAAACATCATAGTGAGAGAGACCTAACTCTATTTATTGGCTTCCTTATATGATAAAGATATCTAGAAAAGACAGGCAAAAATAGAAGTCTGTGGAAAGACAAAAGGGGAGAATGTCCATCTGTAAATCAAAGAGAAAAGCCTCATAGGAACTCAGCCCAGACAACACCTTGACCTCTTAATGTCTAGCTTCAAGAATTATGAGAAAATACATTTATATTATTTAAGGCACCTAGTCTGTGGTGCTTTGCTATGCATTTTCAACTAACATGGTGCTTCAGGAACTATGGGCAATAATGTCCTCCAACGGCAACTTAGGGAAGTTGCCTAACTCTCGCTCATAAGCCTTGAAGGAAGAGTTGTGGTTCTTTCCCAGAAGCACGGGACTGGAAAGAGCTCACAGCAGCAACAAAGCCATCTCAACAGATCTTCTAGAACAGAAGAAAGAAGAAAACAATCAAGCATAGGACCAACCACACTCCCCCCAAGAAATATCAAGAAAGATACAAAGTCCTGAAAATAAATACAATCAGATACAGAGTCGTTTTATTTGCCTAGGAATGGGGGGCTTGAAGGCTCCAGGATAAATATAAGACATTGAGGGTGTTTTCTTTCCCCAAAATTGGAGGAATTTTGCCAATCATACTTGTTTTTTCAAAGGAAACAAATTCCAAGATCCCCCATAAATCATAAAGTGCCAGAAAATCAACTTTTCCTTGCTGTGACTCAGAGAGCGCCACTGCCATCCTACTTGCTACCATAGCCTCACTATGGAGGCAAACAGAAGGGAAAATGGATGGCAGAAGTGGGGAATACATTGGTTTCTTGTGCTGCTATAACAACACAGACTTGGTAACTTAAAGTAACAGAAATTAGTTCTCCATTTTGGAGACTAAAGATTCAAATTAAGAATCTCCAGGTTGATCTCAGTCCTCGGGGGAGGCTTTGCCCTGGAGGAGGTGGGAATGAGGGGTGGGCTGGGGGGAAGGTGAGGGGGGGTGGGAGGGGGGAGAACAAGGGAATCCGTGACTGATATGTAGAACTGAATTGTATCGCAAAAGAAAAAAAAAAAAGAATCTCCAGAACGGCTTTTACCAGGACCTGTCAACATGGGCCACATTCACATCAAGACTGTAAAGAAGGTGTCCCGGGTCATCATCGAGAAGTACTACACGCTCCTGGATAATGACTTCCACACCAACAGGTGCGTGTGCGAAGAGATGGCCATTATCCCCAGCAAGAAACTCTGCAACAAGATAGCCAGCGATGTCACGCAGCTGATGAAGAGGATTCAGAGAGGCCCTGTGAGAGCTATCTCTATCAAGTTGCAGGAAGAAGAGAGAGAAAGGAGAGATAATTATGTTCCTGAGGTCTCAGCCCTGGATCAGGAGATCACTGAGGTAGATCCTGACACCAAGGAAATGCTGAAGCTTCTGGACTTCGGCAGCCTTTCTAACCTGCAGGTCACTCAGCCTACAGCTGGGATGAATTTCAAAACACTATGTGGAGCCATTTGAATCTGTTCTGTCATATTTTCAATAAACCTGAAAACAACTTAAAAAAAAAAAAAAGGAATCTCCAGAATGAACTTCAAGTGTGAGCAGAGGTCATGCTCCTTTGAGGCCCTCATGGAGAACCTCTTTCCATTTAGGGTGGTGACTAGCATTCTAGGACTTGGGGCCATGTCAGTCCCAACTCTGCCTCTGTGGTTATAGTATCTACTCCCATCCCTATCCCTATATCTAACACTCTTCTGATTTTTATTGATAAAGTTTTTAGGGCAGACCCAAATATCCAGAAACCCAACTACCAATTCAAGATCCTTAACTACCACGTCTACAGTCTCCTTTTATAGTTATGACATATTTTATAAATATAAAAATTACAAAATATTAGTGAATATTCCATTTGCATCCATAAGGCAATATCTACAAACTCTGGGTATTAAAGTTAATACCTCAGGGGCCATTGTTGATCCTGTCCCAAGCACCCTCCACCTTTCCCTGGCAAACAGACAACAAGCAGCTGTGGTGCTTCATCACCAAGGCCATTTCTGAGGCTAACTGGGAATATCCATCTTAAGTATACACATAACTGTTCCTTGTTTTCCACTGGCTGAACTAGAAAAATGCCATGTTCCCTAGTGATGCGACTCTAAATATATTCCATTTATACCACATCTACATGTATTGTCTTTTAATCATTCATTACTGACAGACTGTCTCGAGGACATATCTCAGAGTGCACATTTTCCCAACATGACAAAAATACTCGGGTTTGCAGAGTAGCAACCTTCTCAGTAATAAAGCCATTGGAATTCTCTCAGAAGTGTACTTGAAATACACAGAAACTCAAGTGGAGCCAATGCCCAGCACTCAGCCCTGAAGCAGCAGGATGGAAGTGTGCTGGATGTGTTATTCACAATGCATTAAAATGCATCAGGATATTCTGTCTGTTGACTGTTATCTGAAGGCGTCTCCACGTGGATCTGAATTACAGTTGTCTAAATGCAAAAATTACAGGAGTAATTAAGAAGTCAGAGTAGTGATAGACATGGTGACAGATACAGATGTAGCTTCCAGCTGCTCTTTATGACACTGGCTCCACCAAACAAGAACAATTCTGAGGTAAGTCTGGGGTAGGCAGCCTCTCCAGATCTTGCCAACAGCTGGCTTTGCAGTTTCTCTCAGCAACCACTTGGCACAATCTGTGGGATATCCTGCATATGGTGACTTAACCACTAGGGCTGGGGCTTTGGGTGACCCTCCACTTTCTTACTGTCCTTTTCAGACATTCAATTTCTCAATTCTTTCTACCTCACACTATATAATTCGGATTTCTCTGGTTAAACTCATTGTTCCCACAATGTCTTAGTTGCTCAGTTGTCATCCATAAAACCAAACTGATACATTGAAATATCTTTTTGCTATGTACAAGACAACTTGCAAAGCACTGAGCCTGGTAGGTTTCCCAAAATTTAGTTTGACACTCTATTTCATCAGAAAGAAATACCCAAGGAGCCTTTTAAATAAAATTTCTGGGCTTTGAAATCGCCAATCAAAAAAAAAAACACTGTATTTGCCCATAAAACCAAGATCTCCAGTTCATCTATTCTTCATGATGCACCATGTTAGGGCCACAAAAAGTGTCATTGAACAGCACTGTGGCCACACGCTCCTTCACACTCTGGATTAATAAGGCAGTGTACACTTATGTTTTGTGTTTCTGTGTTTATGTTACGTTGTGTCTCTGCCTTCACTGTGCAGCATTGGGAGTCACCTGTCTTGAGCAGAGTTTAAGGTGAATGGGCCAGTCAAGTCCTGGAATCTTACAAGTAATTTCCTAAGTAGAAGAAGTTCCCACAATTGTCAATGAAAAAATAAGTTCAGAGGAGAAGTAAGGCTCCCAGAGTTGGCAAACATCACCTCAAACTCTCCTTTACCCCCACTTCCTCCAGAGTAATTCGTGACTCATTCTGCCATTTTGCAACTTGCCTAGAAGCTGAACCATCTGATTTATTCCTTCTTCCCTCATCCCACATGGATGGAAGTTTTAATGTTAATAAAATTAAAACAAAAAAAAATTCTGAGCTTTACTTCAGATCTCCTCAATTACAATCTCCATTGATGAGGCCTAGGATTCTGCATTTTAATAAGTCTGTTATGTGACTCTTTTATACATACAAGTTTAAACAGTTACATAATTGCCAAGACTTAAATAATTTTTATGTCACTGAAAACAGGAGTTCCATGTATATAATAATAATATGTTAAAGACTCAAAATATTTCATAATGTATTTTGTTATATTTGCTAAGTAAATCCAAAATCTCCAATCTTCAGTGGATAGGCATGGCCTGAGATCACATGACAGTGAAAACTTGTCATCTCTTGATTCTTTGATTAATCACTGGCTATCTGTTATGTGCCACAATAACCTGGAAATAAAGATCATTTCTTGCCCCCAGGCCATGTATATTTCAGTGTGGGAAGTGTGAATATGACTGTAACAACTCCCACTTTTATATACATCATTTCATTAGCAACCATTCAAAAGAGATATTCTTGAGCTGGGGAGACCACTCATTTGGCCAAGTGAGGTTTGAGTTCAGTCTCCATACTGTACCTACTAACAAAGCTAGGTGTAGTGGTACACAGTTGTAATCTAGTTCCAGGGAGGTGGAGCTATGCAGATCCCTGGAATTGCTGGCCAGTCAGATTAACATATTTGATGAGCTTCCGGCTTATGGGAGAACATGTCTCCAAAAAAACAATTAAATAAGTAAATAATAAATGGTGGATGGCATCTAGAGAACATGTGAGCTTGTCCTCTGGCCTCCACACACACATTTACACTTCTGTAGACACACATATACTCATACTCATTTTCGAGGTAGGAAATGAGAAGTTTAAAATCTGTTGAGCCCAACAGCAACCTTAGCCTCCTCACCCATATGTTGTTCTGTTCCCTGCAGAATAATGTAAGTTGGTCATGTTTTGCAGATGCTATGGGTATGACAGGTAATGAGCAGACAAGAACAATGAAAAGCATAAAATATAAATGTAAATTAAGCCATAAAGTCATTTGGGACCATAATGAATTCTGATCCATGTCCCTTCTGTCCATCATTTAGTAGTTACAAAGTAGATTTTTTCATTGCCCTAAAATCTTGCAAATAACTGCTTTATTCCTTCTGTATATAGAGGTGATTTGTTAAGTGGCCCTGACCATGCCCAGTCCTCACTATTATATGTAAAGGGTAGACAGTTTGAACTTCCAGAAGCCTAATACACTTCCTAGCTATGGGAGGTCTGAGTTGGTAGGAGCCTAGAAAAGACTTTGCTTTGACTTGTCATACTATTAACATCCAAAATCTATTAGTGGACAGGACTCCTCCAGGGCCGAAGAGACTTCTATAATCTCTGTAAACCTGGCTCAAAAGATTGAGACATCACAATACTCTCCACTCTTCTTGGTATTCTGATAACAATAAAGGGGACAGTTACTAGAAAATAGACTCTTTGTATTTTTCAGACCGTTCTGGAAATTCCTGGAGGCCATAACTGTGAGGGAAAAGGCTAGTAGCAGAGAGGGAAAAAAATCAAGAAGAAGTAAGTGAGCTTTACAAAACTGGGTTCCAGGTGACCTGCCTATCATGAGGGTCTTTCACATCCATATCCCCTGGATCACACTCATTACCAAGACACACAAGTCCTGCCTGCCTATGTCCATCCTGGCTTCTCCAGATTTCCTACTGCCACAAAAAAGCATCTTTGAAACATGATAGTATAAGAATTCTAGGTTCCCTGTTTCTCTCCCCAGCACAATGTAAGTTTTGTTACCTGGTTCTAAACCTACCTTGTGTCAGCCTTAAAGCTGGATCTTAAGTAAAATACTGAATGACACCTGGTCTTATTTGTTTGTTCTTTTATTGATGGTATCTTGCAATATCACTATACAAGACTCATCTTTCCCATATGACACAGTCAGAAACACTCCAACTGTGCCTTAGAAAACTCAGTGCAACCTAGGAAGATAGTTGCTATGAGTCCCTAGCTTTTCAGTTGGAAGACAGACTCAGAGCAAACCCATAGCTCCACTCCTCCTCTAACCAGAATGGTTAAATCCAGTGCTAGGAGCCTGACGGATGCTGCACTAAGCCAACTACCTCATCCTCAGTCTTCCTCTGTCTCTTGCCTCAACCACAGTTTGCCCTCCCTTTCATTAGCACATTTAAGATTCTGTGAGCATTTGCATATGAACAAGAAATTGCAGGGGAGGTGGAGCTATCTGAGCCAGCCATTCCCACACACCTCCCTAGGAACAGTATCAGAAGCTGAGTTTGCACCAAGTCTTCAGTCACATCAGAAGAAGAAAAAGGAAGGAAAAGGCGTCTGCAGTCAGTTTTCATAAATCTACTTTGATTCCACTTTCAGTTAATTTTGAGAACTGTTTTGATTGGATTTCATAACAAAGATCAAACCCCTAAGTGGATAACTACAACAGAAGCATATTTCTCACTGTGTTGGAAACCAAGCTGCCGCCTGTCGTGGGGAATCCTGCCTTCCTAACCCTCAGCTTTTTGGTGCTGGGGCTGGAATTGTGCAAACTCTATTCTGCTTTGACAGCTGTTCCCTGTAAGTCCTGTGAGTAGCAGGTGCTAGAAGGAGATGACAAGGGCAGACCAAAGACAAAAGATATGCTCCTTTGTGGCCTTGTTTTGCTTGTTTGGGATTCTTGTGAGGTGTTACGCTGAGTATCATTTTACCTACTGGTACCTGTGGTTCCCTTTCCTTTTTCTCCCTTTCATTCCGAGAATGGGTTTCATCAGGATCCCAGAGAGATCAGTACCACTTGTCCATATCCTCTCTTCAGAGGTCTGAAGTATGACTACACTTGCTTCCTTGGAAAACACTGGGAATGCTTCAGGCTAACAGGTGGCTAGCCACATGCTCATTTGGATATGCTGACTCCCCTTAACCTGTGACTCAACCATCACTAGGCCCTGGAGTCCTGACTGGGATGAATAGCATCTGTCCCACAGATGGGAAATTCTAGGAGGGAGTATAACATGAGAGGTTTTATGAGCCAGGACAACAATGGTGAACTAAGCTCAATTCTGCCCATCCCAATACCACATCTCACTATAGGGATGCTGGCAACTATAGTGTGTCTGTGGCTTTTATTGGATGCAAGCACTTACTGCCACACAATGTCCTTTTTATACTTGAGTGTGAAAATGCCTTTTGATAAACTAGAGTGATGGTGGTCCATGCCTGTAATCCCAGGATTTAGGAAACTGAGACAGTAGAATGACCAATTCAAGGATAACCTTGGCTAGATAGTGAGACACTGTCTAAAACATAT